TTCCGCGTCTCTTACGGCCACATAGTCTCTACTCCCTGCCGCTGCAAACGCTAGCAAAACGCTGGTGAAACGCTGGAGAAACGCTGGCGTAACGCTAGCGTACGCTAGCGTGACGCTGGTGACGCTGGGAACGCTAGATCGATATGCATCCTCTCCCCAGCACTGCCGCTGGCGTACGCTGGAAGCGCTACGCTACGCTGCCCAGTATAAAACGCAACCTAGTGGCATTTTCTCCCTGAAAGATGGCTCAAGGGGAAGCGCTGACAGGATGTGGAGGCTCGTGACATATAAAAGCTGCTAATGTTAAAGTTGTGGCAAGGGTGGCGACGGACACGTTACAAATCTGGGGACGGGGATCCTTTCGAGACATTTGCAAGAACAAAAGTGATCGCTGCTATAGCTATTGAGAGAAGTCGACTTTTTTGTAGATTGTGTGAAATGTTTTCAAGGCAGAGCTCACGATCGCAGCTACAAGTGTCTAAGCTCATAGTGCGGAGAGTAGTGTGAACAGCAACGAATAACCCTGCATAGGTTTCACGCCTGAAAGGGGTAAGGTAGCGGCGGTGAAGCACAAGGTTGCTCAAATGACTCCCCTCCCCCTCCCACCTCCCAAATGAGCGAGTTAGCAGATATATGTCTGATCTGCTGACTTGCTCATTTGCATACTCTGCCTCTTTCGCTGGCCACTCGCCCGATATCCGCATCAATTGTATCTCCTTGGCACCAGTAGGGCCTATTAAAAGCACTTTCAATGGTTTCCAATCCTTTTTCCTTCACCATATACATTTCTGTTTCTGACCTCGCTAGTCAGCGTTCGAGGCAGACTCAAGGGACTGGGCATAACTTGTTCTCTTCAAAAAACGGGAACAGAGGCACTGAATTGAAACGGGACAAAACGGCCAAAGCGCATAGAATAAGGCCCTTATTAACAGTCTCAAGAAGGAAATGTACGAGCCTGCCCCTGAAATAAGCCTTCAGTGGTTGAAAATAAGTGAAGAATCACGGCGACTGCATAGGAAATATAAAAACTCATTATTCCAAGCAGTAGCAAACTCCACGGCAGCACCAACAGTTCCTCGGCAACTTCTGTTCCACATTTTAGCACCACTACCCATGACTCCTACCACTCACAGCTGAGACTGACAAGGGAATGGTTTGAACTTCCCATGGAACTTTGAATGGAGACCTAGGTACATCGATAGAGCCTCGAATGCTGATTACGAATATGCAGATTAAAAGTGCTACGGGACCTCCCAGACGAGATCTGGGCGGTCAAAGTTTGCGAAAACTCT